CTTTTTGTAATATTTATCTGGGTCAACTCCATGATCAAGTAGAAGGGTATGTTTATTATTAAACCTAGCAACCATCCTATCAAGGTATTCTAAGACCATCTCGAAAATCTTCAACTTTGGAATCCGGGCACCAAGATCTTCAGTATCATCGTAAAATTTGTCCAGGATATCCGGGGGAAAGTTCTCGAGGACCTCGGAGACAATTGGGTGATGGTAAAGGTTTTCAAACATTTCATGTTTTTGAGATAGATTTCGGAGAAAGACGAGTTGTGATCTAACTTCAACAGACCATTTACGTTTCTTTTCATTAGATCCAGCGCAGGCACCGAGACGGCGAATTTCCTCAACGCGGTAGGCAAAGAGGTCAGACGCATTTCCGTAGCACTCCTTCAGGTGTGAGAACACCTCATCCAGGGTGGACATGTGTCGGCAAGCAGACCTAGCTTGACCAACAAGAGCTTGTCTGATGAGAATTCTGAGTTGATCAACTTTGGAGACAGATCTCATAGCAACCCAGGCATCCCAGTCCTCTCGGAAGGTATAATAATCATATTTTTCAGTTTGCTCCCCGGAGAAGGTCGGAAATTTCATGTCGGTAGGCTTGAAACCACTGGAGACACCATAAGTATCCTTGTGGTCGAGTATAGTTTCAACCAGTTTATCTTCTCTCCTCTCTAATTCCCACAAGAGGTTCTCGATTGCAGAGCTCTTGTCTTCAAGATCGCACTCCAAGGCTTGGTTGATGAGCACGTTGGCCTTCTTCTTCGCGGCGTCCACCTCTCGGTAGGCATTTTTTGCTCGATCTTCAAGAGTTTGGAAGTCCTGTTGAGTTTCAGGAGACTCCAAGGCTAAATCTACAAGTTTATCAATCAATTCCTGTAACTTTCCTACCATAGGTTCAGTATACTGCTCCACACGCTTCGTCTTAGCTCTGGTGGGGCCAGAGGAGGAGAAACCAGACGCAGTAGAAACATTCAGCGAGGGAGGAGGGGTTGCATCAGATGGTTTATCTTCCTGTTTTCTGATTTCTTCAAATGCAGCGCCTACGAATGAGATAAAACCAGTTCTAGCAACTCCAGCCTTTGTACGGAGGTCCTGGAGATCGTCGTAGATCTCGCTATCAATCTGAGCTTGGAGGATCTCATCTTTGAAGGTTTTAGCTCGAGCAACAGCCTCTCTTAACTCAGTCAAAGGAACCTTAGGAGGATCCAGTTTTTTAAAGTCGTCTTCCCAGGTGGAAACAGCAATCTGGAGGATTCTTTTCTGTTTTCTCCGATCCGTGCTGGAGGGCTGAGTACCCGGCTCCATATCGTAAATGAACTGGATTATTTCCTTAGCAGCTGGGGATAATTCATACTCCTCAGATTCACAGTTTAATTCTTCAGGAACAAGGGTTCCCGAGCCTTCAGAATCATCATCACTTAGATCGTCCAGCAACGGGATATCAAACTGAGTCGAGGTAGTAGATCGAGACTCTCGAGATCCTAGTCTTCCATTACGTCCAGGAGGAGGGGTTTTCGGACTCAAGTAGAGGTGGAGGACACTTTCATCATCCTTCGTAGGAGAACCAAGAATACGTTCGTCATCGACTGGACCAGGAGGTGGAGGTTCTAACCTAGCAGCAAGTTTGGAAATCGGAGCAGGTTTGGAATTCGGAGCAGGTCGGAAGACCGGAGAAGACTCAGAGGTTGGGAAGGGTTCGAGAGTTTGGTTTAGTGAAACCTCTCTTTCCAGAGAATACATCACAAGTTACTCCCCCAGGTTTGGATCTGAATCGCTGGACAGAGTTGGGAATCTTGGGAAGATTATTGGCCCCTTTGGCTAAAATATTATTTAGTGATTCTCCACCAGGAGTCTTACTGGAGGCGTCAAAAACCATCCTGCAGGGCGTGGAGATTGAGGAGGAGTTCCACACTGCTCGCCAAGGAATAATATACCCAGAGTCAGAGGTATCCAAAACCAGAGCTTGTTCTTCCGGAGTCAACTCAGAAAGAGGGAGGACATACCCACGAGACCGTAGTTTCTCGTGAGAAGCAATGACATCAGCACGAGCCTGAATATCTTTGGCTAGGTTTCGGACTTGAGAATCCAATATTTTTTCTGCAGTATATCGGTTTGGTTTTAGGTTTTCTCCAGGAGGGGCTGTGAAGGGCAAAGTAGCAACAAGTTTCCTTTTCTCAGGGTTGTAGGTAACACTGAGATCTATCAGATATTGTTCCTGTTCTTCTTTGAGGGACGCATTCTCCAGGGCTTCACCCCGCCCTTAGAGCAGTGATCGTAGCACGATCACCAGGATCGGCAAGGTCGAGCAGGAACTGTTCATCGCCTCCTTCCAGCCTTACAGTTTTACCAGCAGCAACGTTGAGGGTTGTAGGTCCAGGTCTTACACAGACACTGTTTAAAATCTGAGCAGCTTCGTCAGAAATAGCACTTCCCATGCAACCAGAATCATAGAAAATCAGCAATTTTCTATCATTTACCACATGATCCTGCAGCATAAAGATCGCAGGGTCATTAACATCATCACGAGGTTTGCGTTGAGACATGGAGGCAGAGTTGGACAGGGCGGAGGTGGTGTCGTTGGAGGGATTGATGAAGTAGGTGGTGGAGAGATTGAAGAAAAATGAAGCTCCCGGAGGAAGCTGAGAAGAATCAAGTTTCCTTAAGAAATCATCTTGAACCATTTTGTTCTCTTCAACATGCCATCTGCAGAGCGTGATGTGATACTGACGATTCGTTGCTCGCTGAGCACATTTCCCCAGGGTACAAACAAATTCACTCTGGCAGTGAGGCTCATGCTGTTTTTCCCATTGTTTACGAGCTTTAAAATCAATCTCGGCGTCCATTCTCAGACATCTGTAGCAGGATTGCATTTTTCTAGCAACGTCAACTCTATCTGTTAAAATATCAGCATCGATAAAGTTCTTGCAGTAGAATACATGAGTGTGTTGGCCGTTACACACCTTGCATGGTTTCATAGCAGGGGCGGAGTAAGCAGGAGAAATAAATACCCCTCCCCGCTTATTCTGAGGTTTCTTAGGTTTAATGGAGGCAGATGAAGTCGAGGCGGAGGCGGAAGATGACGAGGCGGAGGGCGGAGAAGCAGGGGNTTAGCAGCTGGGGATAATTCATACTCCTCAGATTCACAGTTTAATTCTTCAGGAACAAGGGTTCCCGAGCCTTCAGAATCATCATCACTTAGATCGTCCAGCAACGGGATATCAAACTGAGTCGAGGTAGTAGATCGAGACTCTCGAGATCCTAGTCTTCCATTACGTCCAGGAGGAGGGGTTTTCGGACTCAAGTAGAGGTGGAGGACACTTTCATCATCCTTCGTAGGAGAACCAAGAATACGTTCGTCATCGACTGGACCAGGAGGTGGAGGTTCTAACCTAGCAGCAAGTTTGGAAATCGGAGCAGGTTTGGAATTCGGAGCAGGTCGGAAGACCGGAGAAGACTCAGAGGTTGGGAAGGGTTCGAGAGTTTGGTTTAGTGAAACCTCTCTTTCCAGAGAAGCTCGAGTAGAACTTCTGTACCTAGTAGGCCTTGAATTTTTTGCAACAGGCTTCCCTCTGCTGAGAGATCTTGATTGTCTGTAGGGAGAACCACGAGACAAGAGTCGAACTCTGGGGGCAGGAGATCCAACCGGTGTAGCAAACCTCTCCGGAGATCGGGCCTCTAGAACCTCAGCTAGAACAGGTTGGAGATTCTGATCAAACCCAGCTAGTGGAGGAGATTCTGGAACTGCAGGCATATGCTTTCGTGCGAGGTTTAGGTAGAGCGCTTAAGGGTTTAAGTGGCTTTATTATGTTTAGCACCACTTATCACTTTTCACCTTTTTCACTGTGCTCTAAGCCCAACTGGGGGGTAGGTTACGTACCCAGGTGGAGCAGGTAGAAGGCATACAAACATAATGGACGAGCATCCAAAATACCCTGGCGCACCTCTTTAATGCACGGACAGTTTTTCAAGCATGTATTTCAGGATAGGTGTAGTCATACAGCTCTAGTCGTGAACTGAAAAAACAATATAATCAGTCCCGACTAGTATAATAATCTAAATCTATTGTTTATACTTGTAAAATAATAAAAGAATTTACAATATAAGCCATTTAAAGTTGCCCAGGATTTGCGTTTATAAATAATAAATAATAAATAAAAACACTTACAAAGTTGAACTGGCCAAGGGGTTTGTAGCCGTAGTAGATCTCTATGCTTTGCGAGTTGATCATGAGGTAGGATTGCTAGCTCTGCAGTCAGATAAGTATCAGGAACAAGACTAAAAAATGGTGAGTTGAGTATTGGCTCTTTTAGTGTCTCTTCAGATCCTTTGCTTAAGTAACAGTTTATTCACATCGATACAGGGACTCATATATCTAAATAGTACCTCTTAATGATCCGCAGGTTGAGCCTCGGATCAGTCTTCTCCAGTGGAGGCTGGGAGGTATATGTGAGGTAGATGAGGTACAGTTATGGTCCGCTGCTAGGAGGAGGTCGTGAAAGTGTTCATCGACCACACAACTTGAACTAAATAGGTTAATGTTAGAACAAATTGATCATAGGTCTCAAGTATTCATCATGTTATTCACCTTTTAAATAACAGATGGCTGCACCAGTAGGCGAGGTAGGAGGAGATCCTTGAGAACATGAACCAGATGGAGCACTACAGGTTTACGATGCTCGGGCTGGAGGAGTAGATACTTTCCGTGTGGATAATCGGAAGAGTAGGTTGAGACGGTGTAGATGAGACCCGTCAGGAGCTGCATCAGACCGTGGATGATCCGAGCAGAGGTAGTAACGTAGTTAATGCATGGCAACGAGGTACGGTTAATCCTAACAAAGGTTTCGTTAGAATAAGTAATGTATTCAACTGTTAACTTAAGGCTCAAAGGTTTAAAGGCTCAAAGGTTCAAAGGTTCAAGTTCACTAATGTTCACCTGGTATATATATCTTAAGGCTGAGCCTTACGAGAGGAACGTGGAGGAGGTGGCTTGTTCCCCAAGCATCGGCTTCCTGCTGAGTAGGATCAAGTCGGAACTGCTCGATGATAATTTCTCTCAGGGGTGATATCTGAATTCCCTTATATAAATCATCTGTGCAACAAGGGCTTGAATTGGAGGATAGACCAAGGAAAGCAATATTAAAACATACAGATGGTTTATAAACCTTGATTAAACGCAACCTGGGCAACACTTCAATAGAACCGAATGGAATAATCAACCCATTCTAATTCTGAAAGTAAATATAAGGTTATTTTATAAAGAAAAAGCTGGCTAGACTTTTAAATGCTTTTTTAGGAATAAAACTTTGAGTTCAATACATAAAACATTCTCAATACTTGGATAAATATGGTTAAATGCAGTTAAATAGGAATAAATGTTTAAATATGAGAGCATAATCTTGAGAGTAGTCTATAGTTCACACTTTAAATGTTTATAAGTAGAGATGAGGTTCTTGAATCAGCTGTCTTCTCACTTGGGGAGTTCGCAGCTCGTCATTCCTCGTTAAGTTTGGAGATACCCTGAACAAAGACGACGTTTAGATCTGTGGGATCTTACATCAATATCTTACGAAACATTACCAAGCCGTTGTTGATGTTCAAAGTAGAAGAATACTTCTAAGGTCGATCTACCTAATATAATAGTGTACAGTACTTTTCAAAAATTTACGTACTAGTTATTAAAGTAATCGAAAAATACTACTTATGTTACCTAACTCATATTTGTGAACAATATC